CCCCAAAACCCCAAAACCCCAAAACCCCAAAACCCCAAAACCCCTCTAAGGGGAATAAAGAGAAGAATTGAAATATTATAAAATGAATTTTCAAGCAGAAATCATATCAATAAATGAGTAATAACTGCATATTGTTCCACTTATAATACCAAAAGCAATCAAAAGTTTGTGCATTATCTTTTGTCTTTAACTTATTTGCCCCTCATAAGCTTTTTCGTATAATATTGTCTAAAATAATAAATCTAACGATGAATACTGGCAGTATAAAAATAGAGAAAGAACTTAAGCAAGAGCTTGTTAAGTTTAAGAAACTGCTTAACTTAGGAACTACTATTGATATGAGCGCAAAAATAAGCAGGATAAAAAAACGAATGCCATAAAAAATAAACTACTCTAAATAATATTAGGAATATTTACCTTTTGGATTTTATGATGCGATATACTACGGTATAAGTTGCAGTTTTCAATAACTTTAAAAATTGAGAATAAAAATAGTGGTATTGAAGCTAGTATTGAAATAACATAGAAAAATCTCATAATATAAGTTGTTCCTGTTTTAGGCATATTTAGAGTAATCACATCCTAAGTCAAATTTCCATAACTCTATAAATTGGTAAGCAACAAAGAATGATTGGGATTAGCATTACCAAGTAGCATATAGTTCCAAAAGTAATCACCGTTGCAAGCACACCAAGTATTATTCTTCCTAGCACTACTTTAAATAATTCTGGCTACTTCATTGACGATTGTTGATATAACAGAATTGGAGTAGAATCAAAATTGAATAGTGCCACTCCAAAAAAATAAGGTACATTGGATAAATCAATAGTTTTAATCTCACTAAAATGACTGTCATCTTTTAAATTGAAATTCTTGATTGAGTAATACATGATCACAGATACTATCACAAGTTAGAATAAACAATTTATTACATCCAAATATAACTGTGAAGCTCCCAAAAGCACTAATGAAAGAAACATTCTTAAAACTTTTCTAAAAGCAAATAGGCATGAGAAGTATGGTGGCTGCAATCATTATTTGAGTGTTATATCCACATTTATCAAGCTAATGGAAGTATAAGCATATAATTTAATCTGTTTGCTTCCCTATAAATATTAGATAGGCTATACAAAGAGTTCCTAGGCCTATCGTAAAAAGAAAATCTATATAATTCTTTCCAATTTGACCGAATAATTTAAAGGCTATATCTGGTAAGTTAGTATAATTTTGCCCTAATTTTTCTTTCACATTTACTTATAAGAGCATTGTATAGAAAGTTAATGCTGCTATAATAATCATTCCAATACTACCTCCGAGCACACCAACCTAATATACTAAATCAGGGAGCTGCTAGAATTCCAACTCCAATGAAACTTTTGAATAAATTAAAGCCAACTTAAATTGTACTTAGATCTTTCTTTAAGTGACTAGTTATTTTTATATCTTGACCATCGATACGCAATACTATCTACTCTTGACTCTCTCTAGATTCTATATTATAAATTAAACATTAGTTGAAGTATACATTATAAATCATTTTAATCACAGTTTGTAGGAGATTTTTCTTGTTCTTTTTAATTGATTGATCCATAATTTTCATATTGCTAAAGTATATCCAAATCTTAAATCTTAGTTTTCTCCTCATTTAAATCTGAATTATTTTAATTTTTCATATGAGACAGATTTACATCCTCATACTATCCATCTTATTCCCTGTCTGATTATTTATATGTCCACTGTGATAATCTAGTTTAATTTTCAAGAACTGATTCTCTGTCAAATTAAATCTCAATTGATGGATCAGCAACTTAACCAATACTATGAATTTACTCATCATGTTCTTATTCATCTTCCTTAATGATAAAGTGGGACATTTTAAATAGCTTTTAAAATTTATTAAATTTTCAAACTTTCCTAGAATATTATTTTTAAAATCATTCAAATTCAGATGCTAAGGGGTTTTGGGGTTTTGGGGTTTTGGGGTTTAGTCTT